ATTTAAAAAGTTCAGATGTTCCAAAACAAAAAAAACTAAGAAGCGTCTCCAGATAGGGGGGTTCGTTGAACATGTTACAGGAAACCCCATGATAGGGCGGTAAAAAGGAGACCGTCTCGAGCGGTCATCATACAATGATTGTGGGGAGGGGAGTGGGCGTTTCTATCCGTACATGAAAACTTCCATCAGATAGCATCATATTAGCAATAAAATGCATCCCAGTATATTCCGTCGTATCCAGAAATCAACATTTTATCCCATTCTATCAACTTATTTATCCATCAAATCCTATGATGTTTTTTGGCTTAACTGTTACATCAGGCCCTGGAGGTGTCAACGGTGTGGCACCTCAACGTGCATTGCAGTTTCCGAGTCCATGTACTGCGACCACCTGCCAGGTCCAAAACAATCCTGTGAGAGGATCTACCCTGGGGGAGTTACCTCCAAAATCATGTTCTAAATTGCAATTAAGATTGCTACCATTGGTACCTCCCCCAATAAAGCGGTGGTTTATGAATTATCTCATCCGGGCTTCATATTACAATGGAAGGTCAAGAAATTGTGTTCCATGAAAAGCAACGGCGGAGTGAACAAGGTGCGAGGATGCAATACCTCTCATATCGTTCTATCGTTCTTGATTTACCCTCCGATCATCAAACATGGCTGGGAAATCCCCGATGGAGGTCTATAGTTGGGAAAATCATCTACAAATATGGGATATAGATCACCATTTATAGTTGCTAGAAATCACCATTTTCAGTGGTTTACCCCACATTGATAGATGAAAACTGCCAGCAAAAAGAGCATGAAAACTGCCATGTTCGATGACCAGAGGCTACTTGAGCGGGATCACCGTGTTTTTGAAAAAGGCCGTGAAGGGAGACATCCCATCGTAGCTAATCATCTCCTCTGATATCATGTATTCAATTATCTCACAACGATATGAATATATACATATATTTAAAATTGTCTTTATTATTATATAATTGATATTATTACATGTATATATATATATATCAATCATTGTGTGTTTGTTTGTTTGCTTGTTTGCTTGTTTGCTTGTTTGCTTGTTTGCTTGTTTGCTTGTTTGCTTGTTTGCTTGTTTGCTTGTTTGTTTGCTTGCTTTGCTTGCTTGCTCGCTTGCTCGCTTGCTCGCTTGCTCGCTTGCTCGCTTGCTCGCTTGCTCGCTTGCTCGCTCTGGCTCGCTCGCTCGCTCGCTCGCTCGCTCGCTTGCTTGCTTGCTTGTTTTTGTGTGTTTGTGTTTGTGTGTTTGTGTGTTTATGGTGGTTTGGTTTGGGTTGGCTTGTTTGGCTTGGTTTGGCTTGGTTTGGCTTGGTTTGGCTTGGGTTTGGCTTGGTTTGGGCTTGGTTTGGCTTGGTTTGGTTTTGGTTTGGCTTGGTTTGGCTTGGTTTGGCTTGGTTTGGCTTGGTTTGGCTGGCTTGGCTTGGTTTGGCTTGTGGTTTGGCTTGGTTTGGCTTGGTTTGGCTTGGTTTGGCTTGGTTTGGCTTGGTTTTTGGTTTTGCTGGCTTGGTTTGTTGGCTTGGCTTGGTTTGGCTTGGTTTGGCTTGGTTTGGCTTGGTTTGGCTTGGTTTGGCTTGGTTTGGCTTGGTTTGGCTTGGTTTGGCTTGGTTTGGCTTGGCTTGGCTTGGCTTGGTTTGGTTTTGTTTGGTTTTGTTTGGTTTTGATTGGTTTTGATTGGTTTTGATTGGTTTTGATTGGTTTTGTTTGGTTTTGTTTGGTTTTGGTTGGTTGTGTTTTGTTGTGTTTGGTTTCGTTTTGTTTTGGTTTTGTTTTGTTTTGGTTTGGTTTGTGTGTTTGTGTCTTTATGTCTTTGTGTCTGTGTTTCTTTGTTTCTTTGTTTCTTTATGTCTTTGTTTCTTTGTTTTTTTGTTTCTTTGTTTCTTTGTTTCTTTGTGTCTTTGTTTCTTTGTTTCTTTGTGTCTTTGTTTCTTTGTTTCTTTGTTTCTTTGTTTCTTTGTTTCTGTGTTTCTTTGTTTCTTTGTTTCTTTGTTTCTTTGTTTCGTTGTTTCGTTGTTTCGCTGTTCGTTGTTTGATTGTTTCGTTGTTTCGTTGTTTGATTGTTTGATTGTTTGATTTGTTTGTTGGTTGGTTGGTTGGGTTGGTTTGGTTTGGTTTGGTTTGGTTTGGTTTGTTTGTATGTTTGTATGTATGTATCTATGTATGTATCTATGTATGTATCCCATCATCTCTCATTACATGGAGGTGACCTAAGTCATGTGAGTACCCCCAAATCATTCAGGTCATGGATGACCGTTTTAGTATTAAACTAACAGTGCGCTATCGAAAATCACCATAGAAGTAGTGAGTTTTCCCAAAAAAAAAACGGCGATTTTCCATAGTTTTTTATTTGTTTACCAGAGGGTATCCCATTGCTTGTAGGTTAAATATCCCCAGGCAAACCCTCTGGTTTTCCTTCACGGTTTGATCCTGGAAATCACCCAAAATGGTATTGGGGTGTTTTCCATACATGGGGGTACCCCCATTTATGGATGCTTTTTTTGATGGAAAAACATGGAAAAAAACCCTTTTTTAAAATCGATGATTGGGGTTACCACTATTTTAGGAAGCCCCGACTCGCCTATCATAGCCGGGCGTCTGGCGCCGCGCCATGGCGTTGGAGAGCACAAGAGCACAGCGCGGTGTGTGTGTGTGCGATGTCTATCGAAAAAGGGACGGCATAAGTATGTATATGTGTATATCTATCTATCTATCTATCTATCTATCTATCTGTCTATCTATTTATCTATCTATCTATCTATCTATCTATCTATCTATCTATCTATATGTGTGTGTGTGCTTTTCTTTTTATATAATTTGATATATCTATGAAATATAAGAATAGTCTGCTATATAAAGTGCAATAAGTCTGCAAACGAAAATCACACTCCAATTTCTCACCACCAGTGATCACTAGTGACTTTCTGTTTCCGCATTAATTCAGAGAATCTGACAAGTCTAAGTCCTGTTTTACGAGCGGTGCACAATCACATGTGGCTGGGACTTTTCCCAGCTGTGCAATAGCTGATCTTCGGTGCCCGATCTTTGTGATCTCAGCCCCTTATGCCTTGAATTCACAAGCAATCTCAAACACCAGCGGCAGTCTTTTGTGTTCAACTCAGTGCCGTTTATTCACACATCCCCGTGGTGCTAAAACCTATGTTAGTGTCCAACAAAATGGACACACACAATTTTAAATGGCCATTTTAGAAGGAAAGCCATGATGAGCCATTGGATTTTGTCAGCCCTATTTTCGAACAAACCCATGGCCAAGCGGTGTTGAAAAGCTTGCCGCAAATCCGTTGAAATCCCAAAAGGTTTTCACCAATGCTTGCGCGATGACGCATAAACTCTCCCGAAATTTACGCTCATCACGTTTGCTTCTGCGCAGCTTTCGGGGACAGAGGCCTGAAAAAGGTTCGTGAAATTGTTTTCTGAAGAGGAAAATCTTCCGTTCATTGACAGCTTTCACTAGAGGCTTTCCCGCTGGCTTTGCTTGCGTAAGTTGAGGGCGATGCCAAGCGATTTTGTGAGCATCAAAGAGGTTTTCGAGGAGGTTCATCTGTATATCCCAACCATAACTGCCAAGGCATGGTGACCCCATACCAATCCAAAGGTGGATTTTCTCCAGCTAGCCATGAAGGTTTCGTTCACTAGGAAAATCATCCATAAATAAATAAATAAATATTATATATATATATTGGATTTTCCAAATCTTCCAGCCCGCGTTTTGATATGTTTGATCGTTTCCAAGAGAAATGGAGCTCAGAAACCATTGGCCTAAGGCCTAAGAATGGAGCCATTTCACCCAAATTGCCCTTTTACCGCTTCAACCCGACAAAAAAAGGTGGTTGACAAATTGTGTGTCCTTATTGATCAAATAATATACATATCTATATATATATATACATATACATATACATATATACATATACATATCTGTATGTATGTGTATATATATATATATGTAGATATATATATACCCATCCATAATGTTAATCATAAATGGGGGGTAACCATCATCCCCATTTCTGTCGTTCTTTATTTGTGGCTGAATCATCCCCACTGTGGACCCATCCACTGATCCAGGAGGATCATCCGATCGCTTCATCCATGGGATATCCCCATAGTTTTCAAAAAAAAAATCGGGTGTATGGAAAACGTGGATATCAGAAAAACCCTGGTTTTTTGAATGGATGAACTACTGATATCCTGGTTTTTTGATAGTTTTTCAAAAAAGGGGGGCGAAAAAAAAAAGTGGATATCAGTAGTTCATCCATTCATAGATGGGATAAGCTGCAAATCGTGGAAACACCATGACCTTTGGATGATCCAAGTAATGGATATCGCCTGCGGTTGCTTAACTGTTTGCTATGGAAATTACCATTAAAACATATTAAAACAATAGGTAAATCATTGTAAAACATCCATAGATCATCATAGATCATCATAAATCATCATAAATCATCATAAATCCATAGATCGATGGGTAAAAAAACGATAAACAATCATCATCAATGGGTAAACAAATCCATCAATCATATAGGCTATAGGTATATCATGATTATGAGATGCTTACATGCCCATGAAATATTCCCATGATCTTCCCAGTACAAAAATGCCCACTACTATAATGTATAGAGACATGAAAGGTTTCCACAAATGGTGGTACCCAAATAGCTGGATGGTTTGTAATGTCAACCCTGGATTATTTAATAAACCCCGTTTACGGCTGTTTAATTGGGAGGGTACCATTTAAGTATCAAATCATGACTACTGGGGGAATACCCCCTAATTAATAAACCATGGTTTATTAATCCAGGGTTTACATTACAAATGGATTAATAAATGGATTATATCAATCTATAAATGGAAAATGGATTATATCAATCTATAAATGGGTTTATTTAATGGAAAATCAATCTATAAATGGATCATCACAAAGCATCCATCGACACCGCGCTAGCGCCGTTTTTTTTCCGTCACAGCACCAGGTCGGGGCAACGCCACTGCGTGGGCACGTCGTTGCGAAGACGGGGCGTGCCCCAACGCGCCAGGCCTCGCGTTAACGACCATCCAAAAGTGGTGGATTTTGGGGGCACTTCACCAGGAGAAATCATGGATTTCTGAGGTGTTTTCTTCATGGCTAAGTGGGTCTTTGGTACTGGGTAAACATCACATGGGGGCCATAAATCACCAGCGTAACTTGCTGCCATCCCCTTGGGACCGGATGGGAAGATGGAAATTCTGTATCGGGTATGTCCAAATGGAGTCCCTCCCCCGGAAAAAAAAAGTTGGAAAAGAAAAAAGGTCCATCTGTTTATTGGGAGTCTGAAATCTGTCCGCCTGCTTTTCTGCATGACTTGAATGTTCCAATACCAATACCTTAGCTTCTTGTCTTGGTGGTAACCCCACACTCAGCCACTTATAATCTCAGTTGAATGGCTTCCGTGCAAACTTGGAAGCGGCGTGATCATTGCAACAAGTGTGCTTCAGAGGGGCTTGAACCATGCCTCCACCCATCAGATTCTGGTTATGGCCCATCTCCATGATATAAAGCCAAGTGGGGCCGGGCCTCAATCATTTCAAACTGAAGGGGTGCAAAAGTAATTAATAGTTGAAAAGGCCGAAAAGCTTGTCCAGATTCTGTTTAGTCAAGATTTTCCTGGACAATCCATAAAAATATCATCCAGTAGAGATGTCCCCTTCCTCAGATGCAGAAGTATGAGTCAATTCTTCTTCCAGGATGACAGATTTTCTCTTTTCATCATTTCCATCCATCTTTTTTCTTTCAAAATCCCATGGTTCAAACAATCAGAAAGCCCATCATAAAGCTACCATTTGGGGATGATCATGGATCCATCACCACGGTGACCATCACCGCCTAAAACCAAGTCCTCGTGCTTCACAACCGCCTGAGGCACATGGCATGTACGAAAGAACTCAGATGCTACATCCATAAATTTTAAATGGTAGTCCCATAATGGTTAATGGTACTACGATTTTTAATGGTACTACTATTATATCCCAAATTTCAGATGGTTAATGCTACTACGATTTTTTTCTGGTAGCAGCCATAAATTTTAAATGCTACATCATTCATGGTACATCCAGAACTAGTACTAGTAAAAAAAAAACAGTCTGGTTGGTGGGGTATACCTACCCCTCTGAGAAATGATGGATGAAAGTCAGTTGGGATGATGAAATTCCCAATATATGGAAAGTCATAATCCATTCATGTTCCAAACCACCAATCAGTTATTTGTTTATGATGTACCATGTATGGATGCTACCACTAATAAAAACGGAGTTCTGTATTCGTCGCATTCGTTGTGGCATGGTAGCCATCTCACATGTGGAACATGGTTTTTTCAACCCCATGGAAACATTGGCAATTTGGAGATTTAATCCCCCATTTTCAGATACACCCAAAGATCCATTCTCATCTGTCTATGTACATTGGGGGTATAAATGTGTTAAATTATAGTTAAAACCCCGTTTTGGCCATTTAACCACTTTCAGGATCCTAAAATGGAGGTACTGTACCATATAAGGCCATAGTTTGTGGGGATATTCCCTTACATAGGCCTTATATAGGCCTTATATTACAGTATATTGGTAGGTACCTCCAATTTAGGTTCCTGAAATGGCCATTGAACAAATGGCTATCAATACCTTCATCAGCGAATCCACCAACGACGAAACAGTCGCTCCGCTCCACTATGCTCGGCTGCCTGGGCCCCCTCCTGCGCCACCGCTGCGGCAGGGGTCCACAAAGGTTCTACGTCCTGTGCGGAGCCATCGAGCCATCAGGCTAATTATTTATGGTTACTATAACTATAGTTACCCTTTGGCGATTTAACATAGCTATTGAAAATGGCTGTTTATAGTTGACTTGCCTATTATAAATGATGATGTTCGATAGCTATGTTAGTTTACCGGAGGCTAGATGGGTTTATAACTGGAAAATATACTGGAAAGTGTGCTCAACTGGTCAATGTTCAAAACCCATGTTGATGATTTTATAGGAAATTATACTACCCAATATAATGGGGATCATCAATATTATGTCAATGTCCACTTCAGGAGCCGATCTATTGGTGGTACCTACCATTTTTTCAAGACCTATTTTTTCAAGGCTAAATTTCAAGGAATATCCCCAGAAAATATGGCCCAACAAATCTACAATAGCTACATTTTAGGGTCCTGGAATTCCCACTGATGTACTGGGAGTTATCTGACGCAGCTATCACCAGCCATCACCTCTCTCTATATATGTATATATATGTTGATGTGACCACGCCAGGGACATTTATGCCCGAGATCAAAAGGTGCGCATAGGGATGCGCAACTGCTGCTCCGAGGTTTGCTACCAACATTGGTAGCGGAGCAGGTAAAACACCTGACTCCTGCTGGCTAGGTAGCCAGTGTCCGCAGGCTAGGAAGCTTGCGTGATTGTGACCACGCCATGGCTGAGCTGGGAAGTTCTACTAAGTATTTCTCTGGCGACAACTGTGACTACCGTGAGTATCGCAGGTGGAAGCAATGGGCGCAGAACCGCATGCTCACGATGGACAAGCTTCCGAAGGAAGCCAGAGGGTCATTTGTGTGGACCCTGTTACAGGGAAAGGCGTTGGAGGTGGTGGAACACTTGACGCCTGAGCAGTATCAGATCGATGGTGGTGAGAAGGTGCTGTTCAACCTGTTGGACAAGCGCTGGCCAGAGATAGACAAATCTGCTGAGCTTGGGGAGAACATCAACAAGGTGTTCACCATCCGAGCCAATGAGGGTGAAACGCTCAGAGAGTGGTGCGCCCGGGCCTCCGAGTGCTTTGACAGTTGCAATAGAAAATCTGGGGTTCAGTTTCCAGAAGAAGCAAAAGGATGGATTCTTCTGAACTGCGGCGGCCTTACGGCCGAACAACGGGCTGTAGTGCTGGCGAGAGCCCAAGGGAGCTTGAAGCTCGAGGATCTCTCCCAGTCAATGCGGTCATGTTTTCCAGACTATGTGGTACCCAAACGAAGGGTCGCAGCTGTCAACATCGTCGAGGAGGACATCAATGAGGTGCATTATGCAAACCCAGGGGATCCGATCCCTGGGGGCTTCGATGATGTAGAAGTTTTTCTTTCTGAGTATGGTTTGAATCCCGGCGAAGATGAAGATCCGAATGAAGTGGCCTTTGATGAGGGTGAAGTAGCCGAAGTTCTTGCTTCGACCTGGAAAGAGAAACGACAGGAGCTGAACAAACTCCAGAAAGGTCGAAAGTTTGAGCAAGCCTCGGATGTCCGTCGGTCTTTCAGGGTACAAGTTGAAGAACTCAAAAGACGGACAAGATGCAGAAAGTGCGGAAAGATAGGTCATTGGCAGAAGGAATGTCGTTCCCAGGGAACGGCTGCAGCGTCGTCGTCTTCGGCAACGGGATCTCATGCGGGATCCCAACGAACTGGTGCAGGGGTAGTGGAAAACGTGGAGCACTTCATTTGTGTAGCCAGCCCTGTGTCGTCTGGCCCGGATGCAATGATTGCCCAACTGCTGGAGAAGCGCCAGCAGGTGAAGGATGATCACACTGAGGTCTGCCTGGTGTCAAGCCCTGGTTTTGCAGTGCTGGACAGTTGGTGTGGGAAGACCATCATCGGGTCTGAAACCTTGGCTGGATTCAAAAAGATTCTCTCTGCAAAGGGAATTGTGGTGCCTCCAGAGTTTTCTGAATCAAATACCTTCAAGTATGGGAACGGTGAGACTGAAGTTTCCAATCGTATGGTCAAACTGCCCATCTGTTTAGCTGGCTGACGTGGCTCCATTCATGCTGCAGTGGTGAAAGGACAAGCTCCCCTGTTGATGTCGCGAGTCGCCTTGAAATCATTGGAAGCTGAGATGAATTTTGGGAAAGATCAATTGATTGTTTTCACTGACCGTGTATCGGTTCCTTTGACTGTGAACAGTGCTGGACAGTATACAGTGAATGTCTCCAACTTTGCCAAGATTTCCGATTCAGCCGTGACTGATGACGACGAGAGCGACCTGCCAATGCTGCCTGAGCCCAGTCCTGCCGAGACCACTCCATGTGACTCGATTTCTGTCAGTAAGCCAAAAGGGGGTAAACGTAAGGATTACTGGGAAGTTAGACCTGTTGATAGGGTAGTGATTAGGCACCATCTCCGTCCCCGTCGGTCTAAATTTAGTCCAAGCCTTGCACAGTGCCCTGTTTCCGTAGAACAGCTTACCGCCAATAGAGTCACCCAGATTCTAGACGCATCAGGTGAGGTTCAACAGTTTTGTGACCAGTGGACAAACGGGGGTCATGCACATGAAGTCATGCTCACACAACCATGGGTCGGTTCAACCGTGTTTCAACTCCATGAAGATGTTGTTTTACCACCGAGTCTCGCGCATGCAAATGAGGCCCTGCTGAGCCAATGGACCAATAAGCAACATCGCCACCTGATGTCGCAGCTGTGCACTGAGGTACTGGCCGTTGATTCCCCTGGCAAGAATGGTTATGATGTGGTTGAAGTGTTTTCTCCCCCTAGATTTGCACTAGAAGGGACCAAGAGAGGGTTGAAATGTCTTTCAGCAGACCTTTGCACCCAGTGGGATTTCCGCCGTGCCAGTGACCGAAAGCGCATGCATGAAATTGTTCAACAAGGGGTTGGCCTGCTAGTGCTCTGCCCACCTTGCACTTGGGCTGGAGGCTGGTTTCACTTAAATAAACACTATATGGACCCCAAAGAAATCAGTGAAAAGGAAGTGCTGACCAAGTTGTTTGTCCAGTTTTGTTGTTCACTGATTGAAGAGCAATTGAAACGGGGTGGTCGAGTCATGTTTGAGCATCCAAAGGGTTCAATGGTTTGGGATTTCCCATGCATGCAAGCACTCATGAAGAAGTTATGGACGCTTGACCTTCACATGTGTTGTTATGGAATGCAAGTGCCGCAGGGCAATCTCATTCGCAAGTCGACCCGCCTGTTGGTATCACACCAAAATATGCTCACTCTCAGCCGGAAGTGCCCGGGTGATGCCAATCCGAAGCATCGTCAGCATCAAGTGGTTGCTGGTAGCCATCCAAAAGTTGGATCGATCAGTAGGTTTGCTGGCCAATATCCACAGGCCTTTGTTAAAGCTGTGTTGAACACTGAGCCGAAGTTTCGCACGACACCAGTGTTGACGGTGCACCATGAGATTTCTGCAGAATGTTTGGCTGCCTCTCGAGTCCAGGATCTTGATGTGGAAAATGAACAACATCTGAAAGCTAGTTTGAGGAAGTTGCATGCCAACTTAGGTCACCCTAGCAATAATCATTTGGTTAGGATCCTGAAAACATGGAGGTGCCAGTGACGCTGCAATCAAAGCTGCTCGCGAGTTTTCCTGCGACTTGTGCCGTGCCAATACCAAGCCGAAGATTTCCTTGCCAGCTCAGGTGCATCGAGTGTCAGACTTCAACGCTCTGGTAGGTTTGGACATCAAGTATCTCCCAGGTTGGAAGGTAAATCAACGCGTCCCAGCCTTGAACATAATGGATTATGCCAGTAGTTTCCAGTTGATGGTTCCCTTGCCTGCCCAAGAAACCTCTGATGTGATTCGACAGGTGTTCCAAGAACGATGGACCAGTTGGGCTGGAGTTCCTAGAGAAGTCATTGTTGACCCTGCCCGTACGAATGTCGGTGACGCTTTAACTGTGCCACTTGAGCTTGCTGGAACGGCGATCCGTATTACTGCGGCAGACGCCCATTGGCAACTTGGAAAAACAGAAGTGCATGGTGGTTGGTTTAGCAGGGTTCTAGAAAAGGTTCTGTTGGATGTGTCGCCCAAAGATCACTCAGAATGGATGGAATGTGTTCACGCAGCCCATTGCAAGAACCAACTCATTCAGGTTTATGGCATGACACCGTCTCAATTTGTCTTTGGTCAAAATCCCAGGGTTCCTGAGAACTTACTTGATGAGCCAGTCGAAGTGGTGCCTGCCACAGCCTCACTGTACAGTGCGCGAATTGCACGTCAAGTCGCAATCCGTCAGTCTGCACGGAAGTCGCTGATTGAACTCCAGGACAATCGGGCCTTGAGACTTGCATTAGCCGCCCGGCCACGAACCATCACCACGTATCAGCCTGGTACGTATGTTGCCTACTGGAGAAGCCAAAAGTGGAACAAAGGTGTCTTAGAGAATAAAGGGCGTTGGCATGGGCCAGCCGTTGTTCTTGGTGCAGTGGGTCGAAACGGGGTGATCGTTCACAAACGCCAAATCTTGAGATGTGCTCCAGAGCAAGTGAGGCCATCCACGCCGGATGAGATGCAGCTGGTTGACACTCCACAAATGGAATTACTGGGGATTAAACACCTAATAGAGCGGGGGATGTTAGATAGTCGACAGTACATAGACCTTGTTCCTGAAGAATATCCATCCGCCAGTGGCGATGCCCCAGAACCACTGCCTCCTGCTGAGAACTCTCAAGCGGCCAGGGAACTGCAAGACTCTCAGAATCAACCGGCACCCGAGGGTATTTTCAGTGAGGTAGAATCCCCTCCAAGTGCGCCTGTGGGAGACACCGAGATGCCTGAAGCCCCTGCTGACGAAAGCGTCAGGGTAGTTCCGCCGACGGGACCTGAGTCGGAATCTCATGCTGCTCCAGGTGATGGCACAAACACATATGGACCCTTGCGTAGGAAGGTGCTAGGTAAGTCAGGTCCCCAAGCCTTATACCGTCCTGCCAAGTTGAAAGAGGATGATTTTGCCGAAATCATGCGTGAAATTGTGCCTGACTTGATTGAGCAGACTTTGGCATCGGAGTCATCCCAGTCAGCACAGTTGTCAGAGACTGAGAGGAGCTCCAGTGTGAAGCGTGCCTTATCGCCTTCAGAAGTGCCTCCATCAGTGAACCCTAAGAGTCAACGATTAGATGAACCAGATCATGCACTGTGTGTTCAGCAGCAATCCAATGAGGGAGTCACGTTCGCATGCGATGAGGTCGAAGTTTTGTCTGTGGCTGTGACGTCACAACATGCCGATCTGCCGTCCGATCGTTTGGAAGATCATGAAAAGGCAGAGCTCCGTGACCTTGTAGATGCCGGAGCTACTCATGAGCAATTGGTAGCAAGTTACTTTCAGAAGAAAGCCTCCAAAGAAGTTAAGGGTACGGGTAATGAGGTAGAGTTGCAGCGTAAGATAGATGAAGCCAAATTACTCGAATGGAATACCATCCTTAGCAAGAATGCAGCCAGGTTAGTCCTAGGTCCTGAAGCCCTTGATGTTCGCTCCAAACTTGCTCACCGTATCATGGGTAGCCGATATGTCATCACCGTGAAACAAGAAGATGATGCACCGGCTCGAATCAAGGCACGTTGGTGCTTGCAGGGACACTTGGATCCTGATTTGCATGCCAAGGCTCAACATGGTGATCTTCAGAGTCCTACCATTTCACAAATTGGTCGGAATTTGTTATTTCAATTGATAGCCTCCCACAAATGGTCGTTGAAACTTGGTGACATTCGTGGTGCTTTCTTGTCTGCAGGTCAGTTGCCTAAACAATATCGACCACTGTATGCCTCCTTGCCTGCTGGGGGGATTCCGGGCGTGCCAGATGACGCCCTGATTGAAATAACTGGACATGTTTATGGACTCAATGATTCGCCATCAGCTTGGTATCGTAAGTTGGATAGTGAACTCCATGCTGCCGGTTTCGAACGTTCCAAGATTGATAGCTGCATCTATTACATGCGTGAAGATGGTAAGCTGTCAGGTGTCTGTGGAATACATGTTGATGACTGTGCAACAGGGGGTTATGGAAAGAAATACGAAGATGCTTTGAACTACCTCAAACAAAAATTTGAGTTCAGAAAGTGGCGTAACCATGATGGAGATTTCTGTGGAGCACGGTATGTTCAGGACCCTGTTTCTAAAGTCATTTCCATGTCACAGCAAGCTTTCGCTCAGAAACTGAGACCATTGCACTTTTCAAGAGAACGCATGTCCAAGAGAGATGAACCGTTGAATCCAAAAGAAGTTGCGTGTTTACGTGCGATCAATGGAAGCTTGAACTGGCTGTGCACTCAGTCACGCCCAGACTTATCTGCTCAGGTGTCCTTTTCACAACAATCTTTTCCTGAACCAAAGGTTCAAGATGCTCTGAATGTGAACAATGCAGTTCGTCGCGCCAAGCAGCATTCCGATCAGAACATTGTGTTTTCAGTGATTCCTCCGGAAGAACTTTGTGTAATGATGCACTCCGATGCAGCGTTCGGAAATGCCCGTGCTGGAGCGACGCAAGCTGGATATGTGGTGAGCCTGACCAGTAAGGCCATCAATGTTGGAAAAGAGTGTGCGTGGACACCGGTTTTCTGGCGTAGTTTTAAACTGCCGAGAGTAGTGAGTTCGACTTTGAGTGCCGAAGCTCAAAGCATGTCGGTAGCTTCAAGCATGTGTGAATGGACCATGCTGTTGTTGAGTGAAGCACTTGATGGTTTTCGTTGTCCTCATTCCTTTTGGCATAGCACAGGTAGAGAAGCCGTCCTGGTAACGGACTGTAAGTCTCTTTATGATCATTTGCAGTCCCCCTCAACTCCTGCCTTGGATGACAGAAGAACTTCAATTGACATCATAATCATTAAGGATAGTATCCGTAGGTTAGGTGCTCAACTGAGATGGATTCCTACCAATCGTATGCTAGCTGATGCCATGACAAAGGAAAGTCCCGAAGCGTTTGACCTGCTCCGGGCTTGCATCCGAGTCATGCGATACCAGATCAGTCCCGAAGAAAGTGTCCTGAAATGGCGAGCAAAAGAAAGAGAGCGTCGGAAGCAGTTTGCAACCAGAGCTGTGTGCTCAACCACCTCTCATGTCGATCAGCCTCTCAGTAGTCATGGGGACTGAAGCAGAGTCATAGGTATCAACATGAAGTATAGTGTTTATGCATGTTGCTATGTAACCTTGGTGACCGGTCCTGTTTAGCATTCCTTGCAGATACTCAGCCTTTTTCTACCGAGTATCAAGGGTGGCACTATCTCGCATCGTTGCTGTGTTCCGTATTTTTCGATGGCTGAAGCACCGTTGTCTCCAGCCCAGTCTGATGCTTGGGATGTGGTGAAAGATGATTGGTCTTCCTTGGATCAGTCTCAAGCTGTCATGCTGGTGACGAAGGCTCGTCGCCTTGGTCTCATGGATCAAGTGATGCTGGCGGTTTGTGAAGAAGAGCGCTTGTGTGCCCAGCTGCAGCACACGCCTGGGTCTATGAATGATTCGTCAAAGCGCCTTCGTGAAGCCACAGTGATTACCAACCGAGCCAGTGATGGTCGTGCTGGGTATGGATCTCTCACGTATGCTCCTCCTCCGTGTAGCTCCTACAATGTGCCTCCTCCTATGCCGAAGTTGTCTGGCTCTGAGGGTGCGAACCTTGCCGGTGATATCGCGCTCCCGGAGGGAGTCACCAGTATGTCAGATTGGGCATGCACTGTGGTGTCCTTTGGAAAGTACAAAGGCAAGAAGAGCTATGTTGAGATCCTCACTGATGAATCCGAAGATATGGTAGGCTACAAGAAGTACCTCTATGATCATTTCTCCCATGGCTCTCCGCAGTTGCGGGACCTCACAGCCTATTTGAAGGCATGTGGCTATGGGGTGAAGAAGATTCAACAGCCGGTGATTCCAGGCACCACCATCATCCGTGAGTTCAAGCGCTGATTTGGAGAAAAGGGGAGCCAGCCATCAAAGAATTTTTGAAACGAAGATAGAAGGAATGTTGATGTGACCACGCCAGGGACATTTATGCCCGAGATCAAAAGGTGCGCATAGGGATGCGCAACTGCTGCTCCGAGGTTTGCTACCAACATATATATATATATACTGTATGTATATATATATATATACATACACACATTATGATGATCAAATCGAGATAGATCGGGAAATTCTTGAGACTATATGATGAGGAAAACAATGATTCCTAGTTGGTAGAATTGGACAATCATTTGTACAACCAATGGTGATACCAACCATTGTATTGTAACCATCAATAGCGGTGGTGTCCCAGTTCGAAATCTCTAAGTTGATCTATAACTAGGTTAACTATGGTTGACTATGGTTTATGACTACTACAACTATAGTTATATTACAGATGGGGTTACAACTAGATAATATACTTGGAGTTATCTGTCTAGTCGGATATATGGAAGATCTATGGTGATTTTATGGAAGAATTATATGTGGGGATGGTTGTAAGGGGGATGATTTTATAGTGGGATTCTACAAAGGGTAATTGTATGTTATATTCCATAAATAAAACCGGATATATAAGATCTAATACGGATTTATGGGGATTTATGGAAGACTTACGAGGATTTCATTGGGATTGTATATATATACATATATATATATATCATGACATGGGTGTAAGAAACAAGAGTTTTGCACAGATACCGTGGAGATATCATGGAAAATACAACTTTGGAACCCACAAAATACGTGGGAATGTCCACAAATGTCGATGCTAGCCATCTTACAAACATTTTAGTGCGAACAAGATTTCAAAACTTGGGATTTTGCGGTTCCAAATATTGAGACAACCTCATAACAACATGACAACGATTCCAACCGAATGTGATGGGAATTCCAGCGCTGGCGGCGCATCGTCACAAGTTCGTTTCAAAAGCCTTAGATAAAAATATTCTTCAATGAAGGTATTCTGCCCTCTTGTAACTCCTGGGCAAATCCCATCCACACAACTTGACTTCCCAACCCCCCTGAGAACTAGCAATCTATCTTGTTGCGCGACATCCCAAACTCCATACTTCTGCAAATCAAGATGACTATTGACATTTTTTTCACAGCTGGGCAACCTTCATTGGTACCTGTTCATACCTGGTGGCCTAGCAGATTTTGCTGGCAACATGGATCATAGAAGATCCGACATCTGGTGGTTTTTCGACCGACGTCTCTGTCAGACACCCATCTTTTTGTAAAACATGGGGGAAATCAACCACAAATATCCATAAATGATGAACATGGAATCAGCATTGCTGGAATTTCAACCCGAAATCCAAGTGGATTTCGAACTAACACTGACATCGTGGCTGAAACCCCGTGATGGGAGGATTTTGAAGGTTCCCACCCTTGGACCTAGACACAGCATGCTTCGAATTCAGGAAGGGCCCCACAGGTGCCCACATGCTAAACGTCGACAGTTCTTTGCCCATCAACGGGAACTGGCGTTCCGCCCCAAGGCATGGTTTGTTCCCTGTTTGAAAAAGAAGAGTTTGAAGCTGGAAAATTGCTAGATCAACTGAAAGAAATCTGCTGACGCAACCAACCAACAATTACTGTACGATTGTGAGGATGAATTCAACCAAGAAAACCAGCTGGAAAGTCCGTTCTCCAACAACGACTCAGTTTGGGGCAGATTTGTTTCAGCAACGGTGAGTCTCAGCCATCACTCCTGGCATGGTCAAAATGACTCAATAGAAGCTCTGTAGCTTCCTATATATGTATACAGTATATCTATGGATTGCAACTCGCCGATACATGACATGAAGAAAGAGAGAGAGAGAGAGGGAGGGGGAGAGAGAGAGAGAGAGAGAGATACATATATATATATACATATATACATATATACATATATACATTTTTCCTGACATCCGTCTCCAAATGTGCATGCTTTAAAGCCTTTGGCCGTGCTGCTGCATTTCCATATAGGCTCAGGAAGACTCAGGGGGTCACGGTGTGTGTGCAAAAGGGCGTGGTTCGCCGTTGGATGGTGGTTGGCCGGGGTTGCCATTAAATCGAGAAGTGTAACAAGTTTGGACAGGGAATCCATTATCTTTCCTTGTGGTCAAGGACGATTGATCAGGTGGTCAAGGTGGAAGATTTGGTTGTGAGGCCCGTTACCAGTTCAACACTGGTAGCGGAGCCAGAGAGCTCACCGCTGCCAGCCTGGTTGCTTGCTGCGAAAGTGAGTAGATCCAGGGAACATGGAATCTTCAAGTGGCGGTGGATTGACTGCGACGGGAGGTTCCTCAGGGAATTCATTTCTCCCATGGCATTTGATACCATCATTTAAGCCTGGAGAGACCGAGATCAATGAGTACACGAGACGACTGGAGTTTCTGGCCAAAATTTGGCCCCCAGAACATTTGCCTCAGCTCGCACCTCGAGCGTGCATGTTGTGCGAAGGCACTGCCTTTGCAAAGGTAGTGCGTCTGGATCCGGAGAAGCTTCGAGTCAGTACCACGGACGGAGTGAAGCTGGTCGTTAAGACCCTTGGGGGAGTCTGGGGGCAATCTCGCCTGGAAAAGAAATATGAAAGGTTTGAACGTGCCATTTTTGGAACAATTCAAAAATCAGATGAAACTCATGCCAGTTATTTGGCCCGCCATGAAGTGCAATACGAAGATTTGATCAGTATGGGTGCCACCTTGGAGGAGATGCGTGCCTACATCTTACTTCGCAATTCAAGTTTGTCTGCTGATGATAAGAAAAAGGTCATCATGGACGCAAATGGCGAACTTGAATACACCAAAGTGACGGCAGCACTGCAACTGTTGGGTTCCAAATTTTTTGGAGAGGTTCAACAGGGTTCCAGCAAAAATCAGACTCGCACCAAGACCTATGATGCCAACATGATAGATGAACAGGAGCATGATGTTGATGATGGAGATGAAAATGTCTTCCTGGCCTCTGAGGTTTCTGAGGAGACGGCAGTCGACATCATGATGGCCGAGGGGGACGAAGATGCTTTGGTTGTCCAGCAATTTGAAGATGCGATTCTGGAATCTTTGCAATCCGACCCTGAAATAGCTTCCTGTTTGAATGCCTACGCGGATGCGAGAAAGCGCCTTCTTGACAAAGCCAAAGGGCGTGGATTTTGGGGTCCTTCAAAGACCAACAAAGGAAAAGGTAAGGGAAAATTCAAGGGTGGTTTCAGATCTCAATTCAGAAAGCCTTTAGCACAAAGAATTCTAGAGAGCTCATGCAAGATATGCCATCAAAAGGGACATTGGAAGGCCGAGTGTCCTCAAAGGTTCAAGGCAGGGTCCAATGCTGCTGCACCAGCCACCGGTGCGCCAACTGCCTTTGCTGGAGTGTCCCTTGCCACCGATGGAGATCCAATTGAGCCTGATGGTGACGTAGTGTCAGAACTGCCTGAGAATGCCGTGGCTTTCACCGTTGAAGAGGTTCGAAACAGAAGTCCACACCTCTTGAGTAGACCCGGTATTTGTTTTCCTCCTGCCAAAATCCGTAACAGTTGGAACCAAGACCAAGTTCAATCCCAAATCATGAAGATTCGACCTGACCTTGTGACCCGACTGCGTGCCATTGTCAGGCCGAACAAGATGATTCAACCACAACATGGCAGCACATCACCGCGACCTGACCCCCTGGGTCCCAAGACAGATGAGGACTTTCCTGAGAGTTCATTTTTTGTCTCACATGGGTCGACAGGGATAGTTGATTTGGGAGCCAGCATGTCAGTCATAGGCCAGCGTCAATTTTCGGAACTGTGTCATTCTCTCCCTGCTGAGATCCGAGGGCTGCTCAAAGAAGCCCCTTGCAATGTGAGTTTTAGATTTGGCAACAATAGCACGGTCACCGGAAAGAAAGCCGTATTCTTTCCCATTGGTCCGTTTTGGATGAAAGTGATTGTAGTCCCCTCCAACACGCCATTTCTTATAGCCAACAGTGTTTTCAGATCTTTAGGTGCAGTCATTGACACAGAGAGCAGTCAGATTTTTTTCAAGAAGCTGGGCCGATCAATTCCAATTGTGCTCAATGAGCGTAAGCTGTATCGGCTTGACATGATGGATCTTTTGACTGCTCCGATCCGTGGCATAAAAGGGTTTTGCCAAACTCAGGACACCATGTCGGAAGACACCAAGGCAACA